GCGATGGCAAGGCGGGAGATGTTCTTTCTTGGTGTTGTTTCGGTTTGTTGTGGTGTTGTTGTTTTTTTTGTTGTGTGGGCGTTTATTTGTCTATTATATCCCTTCTTTTTAGAGCCCGCCCTCACGTAGGCGCCTACTTAAATAAGGGAGAAGCTCCTAGCTAGGACGAATAGCGCACGCTTCTTCGGAAGGAAGCTCCCCCCCTGAGTGCGGGGAGGAGCTTCCTTGAAGAAGTGCTCGCACTAATCATTTGGGTTCCTAGATTTTTAGGGAAACTTGCCACTTGAGTTTGTTTTGGTTTGGTTTGGTTGTGTTTTGGTTGTTTCCCTTCTTTTGGTTTGGTTTGTGTTGCTTTGTTTCTCTGACGTGTCGCTTGGATCCATTTGTGTTGACCTTTCCTTTTTTTTTGGTTTGGGGGTTGGCCCCCGGGTTGACATCCAAAAGGTGCTTCAAAACAGTTGTTTTCTGTGAAGTAGCCTGCCAAGCCGATCTTAGGATTTTTGGGGAAGACTCAGCTTGGATTGACTCAGCCTGGTTGGACACAGCTGGATCTTGTGGAAGGTTGATGAGTGAGGGTAAGGCATGGTAATTGAGAATAGGGATAAACACTTTAATATTTGGACCTTGGATACATCAGAACAATGATCTTAGGATTGGCGGGGGTTATCAAGTGGTTTTAGAGGCAGGTTGGAAGATTGGAAGCCAGGGACTTCTCAACCCCATCACCCAGCAGACCTGTGGAACCTCTATAGCGAAGAGATGCAAAGATGGAGGAAGTACAGAGATAAGGCAATCATATTTGACCAGCCGGACCAGCGGCACCCGGGCACCCCGATACCATACGGAACCATTGGCCTGGACCCATAAGAGGTGTCGAATCAAGACCCCTTAACCCCCCAAAAAGGGCAAACATGGAGACCCCAAATTGGGGGTGGTGGGTGATGGTATGGTGAGGGTGTAGCCCACTACCAGGGCCCAGTTGGTAAAAGATGATCACGATTTCAGTCATGGAAAGGGCAGCAACCTAATCATAATCATCCACTGAGCCCTGGTCATGGGATAGACCCAAGGTATATTATATATATATATAAGTATATATATATATATATTCTTGGTCTCTTCGAGTCTCTTCGCGTTTGTCAGGCATCGATGATGGCCATGATGATGGCCATGAGCGGAGGTGGAGGCCGAGAATGAAGGAGTCCCCGGAGGTCATAAACATGTCATACCTACCCCCTGCAGACCCTGCAGATCTAAGATGGAACCAGACCATTGGACTCATTGAAGACCAGTTTGCTCGAGCCGTGGCACGCCAGGATAGAGGCGGACCCTACTCCTAGAGGCCAAAACATGGAAGACTCATATCCAGTTGCCATTCGCCGTTCTTCCTGGGCCGCCATAGACGGATCTTACCCAAGTGACCTGGCACATCAAGGTCCGTCGCCGGTTTTGGGAAGAAAAAGACACGGCTCAAACAAGAACAGCTGCAGAAAAACCTCCGGACCAGACCACCTATATAGGCTGTAAAACGGAACCACCACCTGCGGCGGTAGTCTAGTATAAAACAATATTGTTCGTTGTCCCGTAAAGACTATTCAATCAACGCTGATTGAAAGCCAACCTTTCACATCTGCTTTGCAGTCTCCGGAGCGCCCGCAGTTAGAGTCAGAGCCCTTGTACCACCTTAGAGTCCTTCAAAGTGGTTAGTTCTAGGTGCTTTGGGAACATGACGACGTGTAGTTCAACGCTTTGGCATTGAAGTACTTCGCATGATGTTCCTCCTCTTCCGGGCCAGCATGGCATGCACAGCATTGCACAGCCGCAGGTGCGGGTGGCACACGCCCAGGCGATTGGGTCTGCGGATCTTGTGGAGTTGCTTGGCGCATCGATGCCGAGCAAGCGATGAGGTCGTTCGTGCGATGAGGTCGTTCGTGGGAAGTAGACATGGCACCGATGCACCGATGACATCCTATGACCTATGCCATAGAGATGGGAAGAAAGGCCTAAGGCATGTTACCAAGCAGCTTTGAAGGGTTGTGACGTGATGTGTGTTTGCTCGGGTTTCGCGCGGGCGTTGGGTGTGCATGGTGGGCAGCCCTGGGCCTGACTAAGCCTTGCTTGCAGCGCCGGCTTGGGTTTTCCGGTTATTTCAATCAGCGCAAGAGGGTGAGATCTGAGAACTAACATGAGCCTGGCGGAAACATGGACATGAAAGGGCCATTGGGAAAGTACTCTGAAAATCAACTGTCATTTGATATTAAAATAGGATGCTTAAGATTGATCGTGCTTGCTTCTAGCCTTCTCTTCCTTTGCCAGCTTCGCTGAAGTCTGGCGCAAAAAAACACCCGCCGAAAAATGCGACACCGACTCGCTGTCGCTGAGGACTATGTTTTCTCCTCCAGGGACAAGTGTAACCGATGTGGTGCCCCGAAGCCCAGTTCGGCCAAGCGCATGGGCATGAAACCAGGCGCTTTTCTTTTCTGCTGCTGACCCGGGGCATGAAACGAACGTGGGGCAGCGATGCCTCTGACCTTTTTTGGGAGTCGGTCTCGTGACACCTTTGGGGCGAAAGGCGCATGAGGAGCAACATACCCATCCTCATCTCTTTTTGCTACTGTTTGGTGTGACATTGCAGAACGATAGCCGCATCCAGGATGAATCCATCCAGGATCCATCCAGGATCGGCATCATGGCGTAGGGAGGCGTACACCGGTTCGGAGTACAGACCGGCGTACAGACCACCTGCCTGGCTGTGGGCTGGCTGTCGGCCAGGCGATTGGACGTGCCCCAGCTGCGGCGATTTGGTGTTTGCCTCCAAGAACGCGTCCCCTGGGAACCTGTTTACGAGCGGCTGGAAAAGGAGGGGGCCTGTAAAGGATCGTGTGGTTTCGTGCCAGCGCCGCGAGAGATGGCATACTAGTATAGCAAGGTGCCTTAGTTACTGGTCGATGGTAGATGATGTTTGTCTTTTCTCGCCAGGGGGTTCCGTTGGGCGAAGTGGACAGAGTGGGCCTTGTCACTAGATAGCTAGGACTGGTGAACATGATGAACCCAGTGACTAACATTGCACATGTGGTTTGGACGAAGCGACCAATGGACATAAGGTGAAGTTACAGGTGAACTGTGAACTATACCGATTCAGATCCAGGTCTGCAAGGTCGAATTTGTTTGGGGGCGGCGAACATCGAGATCCATCGGCACAATCAGGTCACCAGAGACTGCCGCTCTTCGGCCTTCATGGGCCTTAAGCATCCAGACATATTTTCTGACCATCCATGGATGGCATATATTTACCTAACAGTTGGGGGTGCCTTCCAAGAAGGTCAATGTAACTTATATGCCTCCAACATGGATGATCATGGGAAAACGGACCGATGACGACCTCGGTTTCACCGTGACCGATGACCTCGGTTTTCGACCCACGGACGTGGGCCGAAAGCGAAGGTTGTGATCGGTCAAGGCATCACTCCAAGGAACGCGTCAGATCGCCAGGTGGGTCAGGTCCAGGTGTTTCTCCATGCATATCAGGTGGACAGGTTTTTTCAAGCGGGAAGAGCCATGCCAGGTGTAGCCTTTGTGGCACTCCAAAGCCTGCTGAGTTGCGGTCGTCACCCTACTAGGCAGCTAGGTTAGACAAGGCCATGAGAAGAGGCACTGGCCATTGAAGCATCCCCATTCATGAAAACTAGGAAAACTTCAGCTGGGTGCAGCTCACATGGGAAGCTCGCTTCTTTTTAGGGGGGGGCTGCTGGAAGATTCAGATCGGAACAGTTTTTTCAGATCAGAACAGTGTGCGCAGGCTGGAAGGTTCATGCTTTGGCATATGCCCTAGGCTTGCCGTCATCATTGATGTAATGAGTCTTTACCGAACAACCATTGTTGTACTATGTTGTACTAAGGATTTTAGACTTACAACATCAGGTCAACCATGTTTAAATTGTTTTGGAAGCCACTAGGGTGTACAATATTTGTATCAAGTTGTTATCCTTTATAGTTGTTATTTCAGGAGCCATGCAGCAAAATCTAAGTGAGATCCGTCCTGTACAAAAGGTTGAAAACTTCTGGCCCCCCCAACCATGAGGCCTCCAAACCATGAGGTGCTACTGGACTACCCGAGGAAGGGTAGGACTCCGTGCACCGCTACAGACAAACCCATTTGCAGTGGAATTGAAGCTTTGGCCCCCCCCCTTCTGCCACTATACTGTTCGAGTCCAAAAACACTTCTGAAAAGGTACAACACCTCGAGTTACTCGACCTGGGGGATGGGTGACGGATCACGTGCATGACCTCATGTCTCCTCACCGTCTCCTCCGACGTCAAATACCGACCACGCCCGGGGGATGGGTGACGGACCCGCTGGGCGAGACGTACGTGGCAGCCGCTCTGAGATCCCAGCGAAGTGCAGATGAACATCCTTGAGAATCCGGTTGGTTTGTTTGGGACATTTGGGGAACATGGCGCCATATGCCATATGGCGGGTGTGCGCCATATGTGTACCATGGCACTGCCAAGATTGCTTGGGTCGCTACTACTCAGGGCTATGGAGAGCTGCCATTGTGTCGTTGGGATCCTTGGGGCCTTGTGTTAGGTCTTGTGTCGTAGCCGCGCAAGTTGAGACGAGCCAGCTTGGACCAAAAGCAGCGTTGCTGGAGAGGAGGCGAAACGCCTGGACGGGTTGAAGAAAGAGTTGGACACCTTTGATCGACGTCTTTGGTTTGGTCTTAGAGGTAGGGTGTTGAAGATGTTGAAACCTGAACCCCAAACAATGCATATAGGGCCATAGGAGGTTGGAAGAATTGCCTATCAGGCTTTTCAGTATTCCACTCCCAATATACTCTTTGGAATCATTATGGAAGTGGAAAATGGTGCCTTGGACGACCGCTTTCCTAATAGGTGGTGTTCCATTTCCATGATGACTCCGGGGAGTATCTCCCCAGTTGAAAACGACACCGTGCACTATGAATACCGCACGATACTCACGCAGTGTGCCGGCCATGCAGGGCAACGCAACATCCTCCAAAGCGGCGACGGATTCAACCTCATTGATTCGTCCTGAGACTGAAGAGGCGCTGCGTGACACGTTAACCGATCGACCGGCGACAGGCGACAGGCAAGAAAACTGGCCGTGGGTTTCGGGCGTGTTTGCGCTCGCTTGGGTGGAGCGTGGCTTTTAATGGGAATTCGCTTGCCAAGAAGGTCTCAAGTAGCGATGATTCCATTTCTTGAAGGCTTACCAACCAACGAGTTGCAATGGATATTCTGGGGAGCCAAGTGCTGGGACAATCTTGAACAAGATCTCGGCTACCTGCTACCTGCTAGGGGCTCCTGGCCCTACTACTAGGAGCAAGAAGCTACTAGGGGCAAAGGGCATCGCTACGAACGGAGCAGGACGCTACGTTCGGGGCTCCTGGCCTTACTACTAGGAGCAGGCTGAGACTCTGAGATGAAGTGCTTTGAATGACGGATCTGGTCGGGGATTTTCCGGGCGCGGCCAAGCAAAACAGAGACGCTAGTCAAGGTATACCTTCATGTCTGGTGGATTTCGCAGTCAAGTGTTGAGACTACACGTGGAACAGGCTATGTCAACGTTTGATTTGCATAATGCAAAGGCAGATTTCAGGAGCGGAAATTGACGAAGTCCAGTTGTGTTTTCGCAATTGACCGAATCACATGTTTCCTGCAAACCCCACACACCGTGATCCGGAAAGGTGCGATCGAGTGCACCTCGTCTCGTAGAGCAAGCAGCTTCAACCTGGGCGCGCAAAAAGACCCAAAAGCTCCATGGTGGGGTGGTGCAAATATGGCCTACATTCACCACCTAAGAACCACCAAATGGAGGCAGGAGATGGCAGGAGATGCTTGCTGATGTGCCAACATTTAGACTGGGGCCCCGGCCCCAAGAATTTCAGACCCCCAAAACGGCCAAGACCAGCGGACCAGCTGCTGAAAAGATTGAAATGCAGGCGCCTTTGCAGACCATCTGTGGTGTTGTTATTTTTGTCCGGATTCGGTTCGAATACTTGCAACAAGCAGAGGCCCCTAAACCCTAAAACCCCATGCATCACCTCCAGAGGAGCCCTGGCTTCCTGAAACGCATGTGTTCAAGGCATGTTTTGCACAGTGGCACAGGCTGCCCCTCCTTTCCCTGTTTTTTCTGTGTTTTGCATGTTCCGACTCCTGTGCAGGTGCACTTCAAACTCAATCTCGCAGGGTTGCTCAGTGTTCGACCTTGTTGAGAAATGGTTGCCGGGTGACATGTTGATTTGCCGCCTTGGAAGGCGAGCACTGACCCTCACTGACCTCCACTCAGCTGCCCAAGGTGAAATCCTCAGCTGCCCACTCCCTGGGCATAGACGTGGATCTGACGGATGGCACGCCCCGGAGAACGCGGTAATGTCCCGCGCAGACCGCGTGGAGTGCAAATTGTAAAGGGAGTATAGCTCCAAGTTGGCATCTCATGGAGTTGGCATCTCATACAGACTGGGGAGGCTGAGGGAAGTGTGATACTTCAAGATCACTATGGAGAGTCGAGTCATCCTGAGTTCCTTTTAAAATCTTATAGGCTTTAAACCCAGAGCGGTCAAAGACACCTTATTACTGGGCTTTTGCTGGTCTCCAGATCCTGTCCTTTAGTGTGGATTTGTGTGGTGAGCTCGGGCTCGGGAAGCCTGGCACCCGTCGACCAAACAGCGCAGGCAATGCGATCCTCGTCGAAGCAGTTGCCGGGCATCAGGGCCACGGGAAGCGGACTCGGGCTGTTTGCTTCGGACCGCGGACCTGCGCAGCACGGTGTTTTGGGCCGGTGGCCGGATGAGACTAGAACTAGTCGGAAGATAAAGCACCAGGGTCACCAGGAGTTTCAAAGGGGTGCTTAATGGAGGTTAGGGGTGCCCATTACCCAATCACTTAGGGACTAAACACCACCCCTTTGTGACCCCTGGCAGGTTTTTAATGTTTTTTCCCCACCTGCCAGGTGAGGGTTGTTAGATTTTATCACAGCTGTTCTTCCTCCTCCGCCTCCGCCGCCTCCTCGTCCTCATCCTTCCTCCTTGCTTCCTTCCTCGCCAATCTGCTTCGCCGATCTTGCGTGGCCAGCTCCGGATCGCAGTGTGCACCCCTGGACCTCAACCGCAAGGATCCCCTCGCAGTGTGCACCCCTGGACCTCAACCGCAAGGATCCGATCGCAGT